AGATCTGCAAAAAGGAGGTGAAAAAGCAGACTCGGGAAATGTATTATGGGGCCAGAGTGAGAGTTGCAGCACCCTGCTTCCCTCAGGCACTGACACCTCTGAGGGACAGCAAAAGCTGCTCAGCAGCACAAGGCCAGTAGGTAGGTTGCAGAGCAGACCTGTGGACAGCAGCTATAGAAGGAAGGATTCCTGTCTCAGGAAAGCTCCAGGTACCCCTGGGCAGCATGGCTGTCTCTTAACAATGGGGTCTCTCATGGGCATTTCCCTTCTCTGGCCAGTAAGACATCCAAGGACATGGATTTGCTATGCAGGACAGGGGCATCTAGGGCAGCCCCTCTGCTAATTCCAGGATCCTTAGCACTCACTGCCAGGCACCAAGCCAGACAGATCCCTCTTTTAGCTCATAGCACAGACAAGGCATGCTGCTCCAGCACAGCCAGGCAGGCCAGTGCTAAGGGAGGGTGTGCACAGTACTGACTGCCAGGAAACAGCCCCAGTCCGAAAGGCTAGCACCCTGGGTGAAAAAGGTGATGGGGGACCATCACACTTCCCAGAAGTACAGCAGGGCAGGAGAATCAGGGGGACAACATGCCAGTATAGAGATGAGTCTCTGCTCAAAAAGTATGGGCTACACAGGCTACCAGCACACACAGCAAGCACACAAGAGTCTGTGCAAAACAAAGCATCCTGCACAAGTCCCTCACAGCCACTTTGACCACTGCAGGTATCTATCCACAGACAAAATGTGTTATATAGACAACTCAGCTGAAGTGCTATTTTCTTGCAGTTTGGGCATCCAGATTTTTAGACAACCAAGCTGGCCCCACTCTTGTCCTCTAATCTGGGCATCTATATTCTGGATGTCCAGTCTCTGAGTACAGCCAGAGGGCTCTCAGGGGCTGCTCAACTCAGCTTCACTGTAAGGTACCTGTTAAAGGGGTTTATCAGCAGGCTTCCCATTCCTGCCCCGGTAATACCCAACATAGCTACACCAGTCTGGCTCCAGCATGCCAGAGGTCAAGGCAGGCAGTCCTAGGTCCTGCCCAGTATTCATTTTGCACAACCTGATGGTGATCAATGACTTCATGGCTGCCCATGTTGAGCAGCTGACAGAGGAGGGAGTCTTTGAGACCCTACCCAAAGAGTAGGACTGCCTGTGGGATGCACTGCAGGAGGAGGTGAATGTTGTTAGGGGCCATAAACACAAGGGGAGTATATTTAAAAAAAAAATAACAGAAGCAATGTCACCCCTCTTCACCCCCACCCCCACAGTAGCTCTCCTGATACATTTGTGGGTTTGGCATATATAAGCAGAAGTTGGTGAGTGTAGTGATAGAAGTCATGATTTAGATATTCTCCCTAACAGGAGTCTAAAGAAGCTGGGAATTGGGAAATGGTCCCTGAGATAGGGAGTAGCTAGTTAGTTAGTTATTTAGAGAGAGAGAGTGGGTCTGTAGAGGTTGCCTACTGCTCCACCATTAAATTTTGTGGTTTAGTCCTTCTCATTTGTGTGTGCCTGTGTTTATTAAACCTGATGATCATTACAGTGGGCATGGTATGTGTGGGCATATCCCTTTCAGGAAGCATGTGGGACTCAATGTAGATATACCCTTAGTATCCACCCTTCTATTTCACTGTTTCAGCCTAGTTGCTAGGTCAAAGAAACTTGGAGACTCCTGGATATGTATGCAGGCATATGCCAAGTGAGCCTTCAAAGCCTTTGAGGTTTGCCCAGCACTGGAAACAATGTGTTATAATGGCAGTTCCCCAAAGATCTCTGCAAAGCCACCTCTTACTTTACTTAGGAACAATGACTATTTAAGGTTTTGTTGTGGGGACATGCTGCTCCAGATTTCTTCAGAATAGCAGAATTGACCTAGGACAATACTATTGTCAGTGACCTCCAAAAAATAAGGTTTTGACTAGTTGTGGCCATAATGATCCTTTGGCATACCTTTCAGGATGACAGAGTTAGCTGCAGTGTCCTGGGAAATTTCCATTTTGGGGCAAGGTTGTATCTTAAAGGCATTCTGGATCCTCAAGTGGAAGCAGTGTTTTCCCTCCACTGAGCTGTTTAAGGACCAGCTATGCAATGTTTTAGTAGAAACACTGCTGCTTTTGTGTGCAAGAAGTCATAGACTCAAATTGCAGGCTAATTTTAAGAAGAATGCAATGACTAGACTACTTTCCTGAGTCTTGTGAGATGTGTGTCCAGCTCCTCCACTATGTGGCTTTGGGTAAGTCAGTTTGGTCTAAAGCAGCAGGATATTCAGTCATACTGCCAGAGATATAAGCCCCACCCACTCAGTCCTCCTTCATGCATTTCAGCCCCAGACACCAAGCAGTGAGAACACAGGGCAGTCACCATGGCACCATGCTCAAAACCTGGGTTTCAAGCATGCTTTAGAGCAGTAACTTTGGGTTTCCCCCCTGACATCCTCACCTAATTCATTTCCAGGGTGGGAGTAGGTTGTCAGGCTTATGTCTTCAGCCATGAAGCTGAACACCCTGCTACCCTGGTATAGAAATACCCTAATTCCTCTGTGCCTCAGTCCATTTCTAAACTATGGAGCAATTAGCATTTCTCTACCTTAGAGTGATATTGTGAAGATATATATGCTAAAGATTATGAGATACTTAGACAAAGAGAGTATATTTATATATGGAGTGCATAGGTGGATGGAAGTGTCACCATTGACTCCAGAGGTCTTTGGGCAGCATCTTAAATTTGTTTTATAATGTTAAACATAAACTTTACTTATGCCCTAAGTGAGTTGTAGTGTTCTGTGAGCACTTAAGCAACTTACCAGCCAAGATACCATGCTGGCTGTGTTTCAGTGGTGGGCAAAATAACTGTTTGACTTCGTTAAGCACTTGTGTTGAAAGGCACTGTCTACAGGCAACTAACTGGGCATGTCTACATGAGATGCCTTAATGCACAGTGGACTGTTCTACCACGCATTAGCGCATCCTGGCAAAAACCGTGCTAATCCGCTAATGTGCAGTAGAATGAGTCTACTGCACAGTAAGCCTCACAAAAAAACATATTCATCTTTGCTTACTGGCATTAGCACAGCTACTGCACCTTTATCTAGTACCTCATATTAGAGGTACTAACTTCAATGCACAGTAGCAAAAGTGCATTAATAAGCATGTAGATATGCCCACTGATTACTGAGTCTTTGTAGCAGCTAAATTCTCATGGTAAATTTTGTTTGTTTAAGAAACTGTAACTAAAAAGATGAGCAATAAAATTCCCCCTTTAGAGGAATAGCTTAATAAAATGTTCAGAGGTGTGAGACACAAGTAACTATTAAACTGCTGAAGCTGGCATGCGCTCTTAATTTGACTTCTATCCTTCGCTGCTTACCCCTGCTCTTTGGGTAAAAATTATTGTTATATTATTCCTTGTAGGTATACCTGTGCATCCTTCAACTCTCTAACCCTTAGAACTAGTGAGAAAAGAGCTTGCTGTCTTATGGTCTATGCAGCACTTGCAGCCAGTTGTTTTTATGCTCTAATGACACTGTGGTTGACAGTGGGCATCCATCACAACTTCTTCATGTGGTGTTGGGAGGATCAACTAATATCCATACAACACTTCAGATTAATGTTGCTGGGCAATGAAGTGATATGCAGGGTGTAGGCTTCTCCACATGCACCTTTTTTATAGTCCTATTCCATTTTAATTAAAAGCCAGGGAGGAGAAAGAAATTACCAGAATCATATGGCTGGCATCCCAGTCTACAGAGTTAATCATTAAAAATTGCCTTGATTTTGGATATCATCAATGGATGTCTATTTGTATTTGCAAATTGTTTAATTTAGGTATGGAAACAAAGGGCAAGCATCCTTGGCCTAGCAGAGATAAAAATTAATCATTTATCAGATATTTTTTCAGTAATGTGATATAAGTGACAGGATAACCTTTGCAGTGGTACATTTCAGGAAGCAGTCTGCAGAAGGAATGCAAGTGATTTAATAATTTCCCCTTTATACCCAGAACAATTACAAAATGAAAGGAGTCCTAGTCCTGCTGCTGGCTTTATCTTTGGGTCATGCTCTACAGAGAGGTAAGATGGCTTACACTGTGTGTTTTTCCTGTGAAATGTTCCATTGTGAAGGCCACATCCAATTCCCCTTGAAATCAAAGGAAATACTTCTTTCAGCTGGAAAGGAAGATGTGGCAGACCCTGAGGTACACATAGGAAATGCATAGAAAGGTAAGCCAGTATTTAATTCTCAAGAACAAGCAGCAATACAAACTTTTACAATTAAGTTTTAAACTTACTTTTAAATTCTATTGATTGACACAGTATCACATCAGTTTGGCATAAAAACAGAATCATTATTGCTTATTAAAAAGTGTTAGTGAACTGCATCTTTAATTGGGCTTTCAGTGTAGTTACATTTCTTACACTAACACAAAGAATGAAAGACAGAAATAGTCTTGGTATGGCTAGAACAAAAAGGGGAATTTTCATCTCAAATTGACTTTAAATACATGGCCAGTGATTGGAAGTGAACTGAACCTATTGGGGCTGTTCATCAGATGGTGTAAATGGGCATAGCTATACTGAAATCAATGGAATAACAAAAGTTTAGCAGTTTATATCAGCTGAGGATCCAGTCCATTATGAATTGACAGCGGTTAGACAACATGGCCTAAATGACCATGTTGCCAACTTGCCTATTTATAACATCTACCTAAAACCAAAAAACCACCACCATCAGAATTTCTACCCTTATAAGAAGTGTCAGGCAGGGAAACAAAGGTTTAATTAGGTACAAGGGTTGAGATTGTTATCAAAGATGTGGAAATGGTTCCTCCAAATCAGACTGATGCACACCGTTGGGTGATATAAAAGAAGAGCTTACAGGACTATGGTTGGTCTGGCTGCACCTGCTCTCTGGAAAAAGAGGAAGACTTATTCAGGGCCTTGTCTCTTGCTGGTGTCGAGGGAGATCATGGTTTCTCTAGGGTTCCAATATAGCATATTTCACTATCATTTGATTTACAAAAATACATTAAACAGGGCAGTGCAAATATACAAAATCTTACTTTGTTCTCTGTTCAACAGGGTTAGATGCAAAGATCCAAAGTTATACCAACAAACTCTGTCAGTTATCACCTCCCCACCTTCATTCCCCCGCCCCCCAAAAAATAGTTTATGAAAGTGAAAATACTGTAGAGTTATATTGCACCCAAAACTACTGATAGATGCTATTGCTAATATGACTATTTGGTTTTAATATCTCCCATGGCTGGGCCTCAGTCTCCATATAGCATTTATAATATAGTAATCTGACATGATTACCACTAGGGTTCATCTCATTAACAGTCTCAGGAGGAAGACCAAAATCTGAAAGAACCAAGGAGTCTAAACTGTACCATTCTGCATTTTTCCAAATTTCCCTTCTTCAAACAGTCACTGCTTGCCAGCCTGCACTAATCACCTGAAGTGCCAGTCTTATAATCAGTATATTTACTTGATAGTATTTATATCATGCCCACAAAGAAACAGAAAAGCCATTTAGGGCCAGCCCTGATACTAGCGCCCTTTAAAAGCATACAAGATAGTTGAGTTAAATTCCCAGGGCCAGGGAGTATTTGTGGAGTAAGCAGGCATGGTCCCTGTGGTGCTCAATAGTGAACCTATGAGCTGATCTACAGCAGCAATGAGTTTTGAAGAAAGGAAGTTCCTGTGATGCAGAGACTGGAAAGGGAGGGAATTGTCCTGTACAGATACTCTTTCAACAGAAACCCTGTCTACAAACCATGAACTAAATCAGGGACTAAATATAGACATTGGATTTATGACACATTATAACCTGCCTGACATCTGACTCCCCAGGTACCTCTCCACTATTTACCAGCTACATTCATTCCCCTTTCCCCCACCCGCAATCTGTCTCTCACCCGTTGACTCCTCAATTTACATTTTCACAGACTGGGTCTCTTGCATACATACCAGCCTCTGGCTTCTTTACTGTTCATTCCTTCCAGGAAGAGTGCACACACCAACAGCAGATGCTTCCTCAGCCTGACAAAGAGTATTTGCACCCGAAAGCTTGCAAAAAAGAATTCTGAGTTGGTCTAATAAAAGAAATCAGATTTACCCAAAGAACCTTGTCTCTCTACAAAGCAAGCATTACTTTCTACTTATGTTTTCCTAAATCAGTGTCACACCCCTGTTGACGTGAACAGATTTTTAAAATTGCCAGAAAAAGGCAGTTTGTAACCACCTGACTGACATAAGACACAAAGTTGAGATCCTGACCCTGGCAGCCACTACAGTCACTATAGCAATTTTCACAAGAACTGAGGTGACAATCTTCGTATCATGACATCATCCAGCTCAGAACATTTATACCCTGAAATCCAAAGGTTCTCACTAAAACTTCAGATGAAAAAAAATGTTGTTTGTTTGTTGGCTGGCTTTTGGCTTTTTTTTTTTGCTTCAGTCTTCAGCTTCTTTGTGCTGATTCTGTGCAGTGTTGAACAGTAGATATGCTTCAGGTCATAAATTGGTAGCTTTCTCAGTGAGAATGGTCTCAGCATACAGTTATTATGTTGGAGTACCTACCCTTTTTTTTAAAGCATTGTGGAGTCTTCAAGGAAGAAAGGATCTTCCCCCTAACAATATGGATGCCAAACAAACTACCTCTGTACCCCGGTACCACTAAGGCCCTGCATGAGGGCATGATTTTTCCACAAGTTCCCAGGCCCTCTTTGCAGTAAGAGAAAGGTCTGTTTTAGAAATATAAGATATTTTAAGACTTAATGAAAGAAGGGCAAGTTGCAGTTTAAACATCTTAGCTGACTGAGTAGACTATATGGAGAAACAAGATATAGACCCACCTTGAACAGACAGTTATGGATCACATGTTAATTCTGCTCACAACAGTAGAAATAGGATCTACAGGATTTTCATTCAGAAACGATGATGATTTCTGAATGGTGCAACCTAAAGTAGCTACTCTTCAGGTGTGCCCCAGATAAACAGTCATACTTTGGAAAATGTTCTTACCCCACTAACAAATGTTGTTTCTTCAAAGAGGATGCTGCTGGTTTAAAGGTGGAAAAATCCAAATGGCAGCCATTCTCTTCCAAACGTGTTCCCTAGTCTCATTTGGCTGGTAAATTGTGTCCATTCCCTCCTATTTGTGTGCTATGACAGAGGGGAATGTAAAAGCCACCACCATGCTTCTCTGTGACTCTTCATTTTACAAAGGGGAAGCATAGGGTGCTAAATCTTGGGGGCAGATAGAGAAAGAAAAGGACAGACAGAGCTGTTAAGATATCCTTGCAGTCTTTTAGGGCCTTAACCCAAGCCCTGATCTCAATGATTTTAATAGGCTTTGGATCAGGTCCTTAGTGACAAGGGGATATTTGTTTGTGTAGCATAACCATTTTGTACAGAATAATCTGACACAGCTATCTGCTTGGTGTGGCTATGTCATATAATTTTCTCTGAATCCCATGTCATTTTAGTTAGGCTTTTTACATTCTTATAAAATAAAATGGTATCAATTTTTTTTAGACTTTGTGGCACTTATTTATGTTTTATTTTGTTTTGTTTTTAAAAAATGAGAAGTTATTCCAGGACCAAAAGGAATCTTATTTTCCTTTAGTCACATGAGGAGCAAAGTGCTCTAAGAAGTTGTCAATTATGCTCAGAGACAGGGGTAGATCCGGGAAGGGTGGATCCAGGGGCAGTGGTGCAGTTGCACCCCCACTTTGATTCCGGTCCACTCACAAGTTTAAAACAGACATCCTGGCAGTGGTGGCAGCATTTATATTCAGGCAGCAGTATGAGGAGTCAATTGACTTCATGGCTTATTATAATCTATATGATTCCTCCTAAACTTTGGCTGGGAATTTTGACTGGGGTGTGCCAATTCTCCTGCTGGGACTTAAACCTAGAGGTTCCTGGCTAGAGGGTCTTGCACCTCCATTTAGGGTCAGACTGATCTCTATATTTGGGGACAGGAAGGAATTTTACCCAACTGTCATATTGGTACAAACTGACTGGGGGGAGAGGGCATTACCTTTCTCTGTTCTGGGGTACATGGCCCTCTTCATTAGATCCCTTGAGCATATATTAACAACCTTTTACAGAAGCTGGATGTTGGCTGCCACAGTCATCCTGATTTACCTGTGGCAGGTTAGGGTATTAGGTTTTGTGGTTGTATCAGGGTTGTCTGTGTAGTTTTGTTAATAGGGTTAGACGATGGGATTTTATAAGATGGTTTGGACAGGGATGATGCTGCCTCAGGCAAGGGGTTGGACTAGATGACCCCTGGAAGTCCCTTCCAAGCCTACCTTTCTATGATTCTTCTAGGGAAGGAACCTGAGTAAAAATTTCTAAAGCAGCTTAGAAACCTGAATACTCATAAATGCCTAGTTAGGCTGTTTTGAAAATGCAACTTTGGAATGGATTTTGGAGTTAGTTAGGCACCTGGAAATAAGAATAGATACCTACATTTTCCTCTTCCCTTAGGAAAACAGGTTCTTTAAAAAAATCTCATTGCTAAATGACGTCTTTTGAAAATAGAATTTAGATGCTTTTGAAAAATGTCTCCTATAAGTTTTTCTTGTAAATTTGATTTAGGAACTTTTAAACTGTCCATGAAAATAACGAAATGTTACAGCAGAGTTGCCAGTTTTACACCAGTATTTAACTTCAGGTTGCCAGAGTCCAGCCAACAGGCTTTGTAACAAAATCATTGCCTGTTTACAAAGATTAACTAAACATTAACAGTTCCTTTGGCGCTTGTTGCAACTACATAAATCACCATGATTTCTTCTGATGTTTAGCAATTCCACTGCACTTCAACATTAATGTCCATTTATTCTGTAAAGTGTTAGCAGCCTTTATTCAGCTTGCCCTGGAACTTGGTACATAGGTTCTCAATACTGAGTTTTGATGATCGTTTTTGGTTCTAAAGGTTTTTTAAACTGCGTAACAATCAAAAGTGGTTTAAAAAAATAAGCAAAACAACACCGCCCTCTCTTGGTCTTTATTCCACTAGCAGCTGTTTTCCAGGAGTCAGTCAAAATCTATACTTCATGGTGTTCTCATAAGCAGGTAAGGTTCTTTGAGTAGATGTGACATCTTTTATTGGACCAACTGAGTAGTTGGAAAAAAGTTTTAGGCAAGCTTTCAGGCGCAGTCAAGCATACGGAGTCTCTGCTGGTCTGAGACTCCAAGGAATAAGAGAAGCTAAAAGTACAGCAGGATGTCAGTGAGAATGTAAATAGGTAGAAATTAGAAAGACAAAAGGTAAAGCAAGTAAGGGAGGGGGAAGAAAGCAGGGGGAGAAAGGCAAAAGGGAGACATATAACAGTGATAGGAAATAAGGTAGAAAAGAGGCTGGCTGTGAAAATGGAAGTAGCTGGAGATCAGGAAAACATGAATGAGAGAAGCTAAAAGTATGACAGGATTTCAGTGAAAATATAATAGGTAGAAATTAGAAAGACAAAAGGCAAAGCAGGGAAAGGAGAGTGAAGAAAGCGGGTTGGGGGGACAAAGGGAAACACTCCAGTGGTAATAATACAACATTAAAAAGAAGCTTTCAATGAAGAGGCAAATAGTTGGAAATCAGGCAGATAAAGGGCAGAAAAGTAAGGGAGGGGAGGAAAGAAAAGTTGGGGGGAAAGAAAATGAAAGAGGTCAGGTCTGGCAGGTACCTAGTGAATCAGATACCAGGCAGGTTGTAATGTGTCATAAATCCAATGTCTATATTGAGTCCACAATTTTTTGTGTTTGGTTTCTCCTACGTATTTTCCATCAGGGCGTTTGGTGCACTGGACGAGATATATTCCATTTCTGGAGGTGCAGCTGTAAGATCCAGGGATGCTGATGGCTCTGTTGTGGGGTGTAGTTATTGTGGGGGTGATGGAGATGTGTTGGCAGGTTTTGCAATTCTTGTCCTGTCATGGTCTGGATCCATTGGGTGTGGTATGGGTCTGGGAGTTTGCTTCTGGTGATCAGGTTAGCAAGATTCAGAGCTTGTTTAATGGCTAGGATGGGTGGTTCTGGAAAGATCTCTTTAAGAATGGGATCTTCTTCTAGTGCGGGTTGCAATTGTTTGAGGATTTTCCATGTAGGTTCCAGAGAAGGGTGATATGTGACACCCCCAGTTTGTTCCCCAACCAGCTCTGAGCTCATGGGGCTGAGCAGGGAACAGGCTTTCCACACTCTGCCTTGCGCGTAGGGCAGGGGCTGGGACCTGACCTGGTCAGGGGCAGGTTCCATCCCCGTGCCCCGATTAGGTGCATGAGGCCCAGAGCTTGGGAAGAACTGCAGGGGTGGGGTAGGTCCCAGCCCCCTAGCTCAATCCACCCATGGGGCAGCTAGCAGCAAGCTAGCTACTAGCTATCCTACTGGTGGATTGAAGTTGAGGGCTGGGACCTGCCCCTCCCCTGCAGCTCTTTCCAAGTCCCCTGCCCCTGCCTCGGCAGCAAGCATCCCCCAGGGGCAGAGTGTAATGTACTAGCCCAGGCCAGGAGACAGCTGTCTCCTGGCCTAGTGTTCCCTGCTAGCCTCTAGGCTAGCACTAAGAGGGAGCCTAGAGCTCCCCCTGGTGGTGGTAGCATGGGGCCATTGTAGGGCTTCAGGAGTGCTACCATTAGCAGTAAGTCTGCTCCCACATCTCTGCACATGTAGATGCCCACCTGGGAGCATTTACTCTCAACTAGTTTACTCGCAAGTAAACAGATCCCAGATCAAATGCATGTGTAGATGCATCCAGTGAGAGAGAGAACCACTAGTTATTCACCATTCACAAAACGCCACATGGAATAGGGGTGGCCAAATAGCACAGGTAGAGTCCGTGTGTAGTACGTGGCAGACCAGGGAGGGGATAGGCAATACAGCAGCAGATAGAGCAGGCAACAAAAAACAGAGCACAGCAGGACAGGCATGGAAAACAGGTCAGGGAGCAGAAAGCTGGGCAACAGGTAGGGGAAGGGGTAGGAGTGGCATTTGAGGAGGTTGTGGGGCTAATTTGTGGCATGCCTGTCAAAAAGGTTGGCCCTCACTCATACAGAAAAACTAAGAAATAAACAAACAAACTAATGCATGCTTCCTTTGCCAGCCATTGACTCATCTCCCATGTAAGATTCATACAGGGACAGCGTAAAATGTGTTGTTTTATAGAGCACATATGAGTGAACACTCTCCCATGTCAGGACCATCTCTCTACATCACTTATATTTTCTCTATTCCTCAGGCCTCTAGAACAGCAATAAACCCTATATGCCTTCACCCCCAGAACCCAGCCGTGGCATGGGCAAGCTCCCAGCAAACCAGATGCAGCACAAGTGTTGGAACCTCTACTACTAGAATACTGCTGAGACCCCCCAGCTCCACAGGCTGGATCTGGCCCATAGGCTATATGTTGCCAACCCCTGCTATATGTTATTTTTCCTAGGAATGAGACTACCATAGGCTTGTAACTACTTGAGTGATTTGGATTAATTATTGCCACATGACTCCATTATCCCATGAAACCCAGCCACTGAGCCTAGAACACAAACAGATGCTAACAGAACACTTTTAGCCTTGGCACGGTAGTCTTTGAATATGCCATGTGTCCTTAGTATTCATCACATCTCAGCATAATAGTCTTTAAATATTCTGTGTTCACAAAGCACATCATCTGCCCAGGCCACCATTCTATATTTATTTCAGGTGGCTCTATAGTGAAATGACACCTTTCCCTCCCAAAGATGTTTGTTTTCCTAACTATGTTCCTTTAGCTAAGAACTGCTCTGTGATATTTTTGCAAGTAAAATGGCCTCTAAAGGCAAGAGCGTCACATCTCTCTCTCTCATGCCATCCAAACCAAAGTAAATGTGAGACAATAACTCAGTTGAGAGGTAAAGGAGACTGCTGAATTTTTCCAGGCTTAATAGGACCAATCAGTCACAAGAAGGCAGCTCAGGCACTGGGCAAAATGAAATCTCATTAGAGAGACAAAATGTGTTTTTGCTTCTAAAAATGTAACCATTTTCCTTTTGCAGTTCTTCAAGCTTCATTAAGTTCTGGAAATTCCCAACAGGACCTCTTAAGTGCTAAATTGATTAAAGACAAAATTTAAGCATTTGCCCTAAACTTAAGTGTTTACTAAGAGTGTGTCAAGAGACATTTGTGATTAATTTGGTTGTGCTACTGTAAGCCTTTCTCCATCATTTAGCCTCCTGGGAATCTTAAGGGAATAATCTATAGCAAAGCTGCTGGTTCATTATTTCCAGTATACAGGGGGAGGATTTTCCACTGCCTAACTGTCTCTTTACACTGGCAGCAACAGTGAAAAGGAACAACAGTGGGTTCATGAGGCTCCACTCTCAAGCAATATTGTTACACCTGTGTTTGTAAATGCCAGATCAGATCAGAGAAGACAGCAATACAGATTCTGCCATGACAGGCATTAAAGACAAAAAAACAGCAGCAGCAGCAATATGACTTAGAATCCAGACATTTTTAAAGCATTTGCAGTGGTTCGTTATGGATCTTTCCTATGTATTTTATCATAATACAGCTCTGCACTGAGTCACCTTCCCCTGGGTTTTGCCCTTTAGAGCAGTATAGCCAAAAGGCTTTGCTTAGTGTACTCACTTAACCTTTCAGAGTTCTGCTCTCTCAGGAAGCAGACCGCACTGCATACATCTCTGTCTGGCTTTTCGTCCCTTGGAAAGTACATTCTGTTCATAGATATCTACTTGTACTGTCCAAATAGTCTGGATTCTTTTTATAAAGGCTGAAGAAGGAAAATCTGCTTATTAAAAAGCATACCAACCAATACATTTGTGGGTCAATGTCACAGGATTTTGTTTATGGCAGGAGATGGAAAGGGATCTAGCTGATTTCTATATTAAATAAGTTTATCTGAAATTGGTAATATATACTTGTAAAAGACAACAGGAAGTTGCAAGTTTTTGGGGGGGGGTTTGGGGGGGGTTGTTTTGAAGGAGATAAAAATTAGTTTCTCATTAACATTTTATTTTACTAAATTTATTTTTCATGTAATGAGGCAATATAAGAATATTTACAATGCCCCTGGTTTTTTAAATTAAGGTTGCAAAGCCATATTTGTATGAATATATATTTATTTGCTTATAATATAGGTAAAACGTTTTTCCAAAAGAAACAGCAGGAA